TTTTTTTTTTTTTTTTTTTTTTTTTTTTTTTTTTTTTTTTGTATGAAGGGGATTGTTCACCATGAATTTATTCTTCCTAACACTACTGTCAACTCTGACTTCTGCTGTGATGTTTTGAGATGCTTGAGAGAAGATTTGCAGTGAAAAAGACTGGACTTTTGGTTGCAACCACAGCTGGCTCCTTCATCACAACAACACACCTGCCCACTCGTCCCTTAAAACCACATAGTTTGTCACTAACAACAACATGGTTATCATTCCCCATCCTTCCTACTCACCAGACTTAGCCCCCTGTGATTTGCTTTGTTTCCCAATTTGAAAATGAAACTGAAGGAATGACATTTTGAAACAATGTCTGAGATCCAAAAGGAATTGCAAGTGGTACTCAACAGCATTAAGGAAAATGACTACCACAGTGCTTTTGAAGTGTGGAAAAAACAATGGGATTGCTGTGTACGTTCCAAAGGAGACTATTTTGATGTAGATGGCAGCCAAAATTGAGTAAGTTAAGTTGACCTAGTCCGGAGACTTTCCATTAGCACATCTTATGTGCAGTACTAGTGTTTATACACATTTAAACTGAAAATATAAGGAAAGTATGAATTAACTTACAAATTCTCTCTTCATCCTTATATCCTTCAGGTGTTACAGAGTGTCTGTTTTTGAGATCTTTCCACTTGATTTACATTCATTTATTAAGGTATTTGGTCCAGTGGTACACTCTAGTAGTTGTCTGTTAAAAAATTTGAACATCAGCAGTAAATTGAAAGGGCTGGATTGTACATGTATTCCCTTTAAATCTAGGCAGTGTAATTGGTGTCATTGTTGAAGAAAGCATGTGTGGATGTGTGTATTGTATGTAACTGGACCTTCTTGGCAGTCCTGTACCGGTTCACTGGATATAGGTTGCAAAGTTTACAGAGTGTCTGGTAAGTCAGTACATATTCTAAAATTGTCATATGAATTTTATTTAAGAACTGATAGGAATGAAAGAAATTGTAAATGGTACAGTGTTCCTTTTCATGCATAACACTTTAAATTTTATGTAGGCTTCTGCATTTTTGACACATTTCTGTGAACGAACTGACATGTTAACTGTTGCTGACTGCAGCATGTGTTAGGAATAAGGACTTGGATTATTGTTTCTTTCAGTTATTCCAGTTTTGATACTTTCCTGCAGTAAGCTTTTTCTTTGGCCTATCTCCACAGAAAGAAGTCACAAGGTGTTAGATCTGGGCTGTGGAGAGGCTTTCATGAACACTATGTCTTCCAGTGCAGCACCATGGGAAATGATGGGACATCCATGCGTGGACAGCGTTTGCATTATGATTTGATGTCCCATCCTGCATCTATTGTTTTCATGCTGAAAGATACTGGCCAAGCACTGTGTTTCACCATTTTGAGGTGTTTTGCAGCATTTATCGTGTCCTGCAAAAGGTAAGGGCCAACCAATGCGGCTGCTGTGATATCACACTAGTCTCTTACCTTTAGGAGGCCTTAGCCTTTTGCACACAGTGGTCAGACTTTCAAATGCCCAGTATTGTCGTCTGTGTTGATTCATGAATCCACCAAGGTTAAACACTGCCTGGTCACTCTGTAGAATATTATCAGACACAGGGTGTCCAGATGAAAGATATCGAAAATAAAATAATTATATCTCAGAAAGTATTTATTATACACATTTATGGGTTACACCATTACAAAGGGAAACTATCGACGTTTCTTTTCTGAGTATATAACTTTCTCAGTAAATGTCAATGTGGGCTCCCTTGGTGGTATGACAAATATCCAGTCAATATTCTATCTCATTCCACGTTGCTTGAAACATGTTTGGTATTACTGTAGCCACGGTGTCCCTTATCTGGGCTTTCTGGTGTTGAAGGTCGTTGATCTTGATGTGGTAAACCATGTTCTTCACATAACCCCAAAATCCATTGGGTTTAAATCTGGTGACCTAGGAGGCCAAGCGATTGGTCCACCTCTGCCGATCCATCTCCCAGCAGTCTTTCTGTCCAGGTGATTCCTAATATGGTGGCAGAAATGTGGCAGCACCCTGTATTGTTGGAGGATAGTTTTAGGTGGTAATTGGGACAGTGCATACAGCTCCAACATGTCCAAGTACAAATGTCCCGTCACAGTCTTTTCTGAAAAGAAAAACAGTCCAATTAACTTGTCATGCATTAAACCCATCCACACATTCACTTTGGGGGTGCCTTTCTTCAATTCACATGTGATGTGGATTTTGACTCCCCAAAATCCTGCAGTTGTACCTGTTTACAGCTTCATTGACATGGAACGTTGTCTCATCGAAGAAGCACACTTGGCGGAGGAAATCAGGTGAGGCATCAGTTCTTTCTGCCTTGTCCACAGTGAAGTTTATGTGTGCTACTTGGTCACTCATTTGTGATGCATGAATCATTTGAATCTTGTATGCTTTTAGGCAGAGCCTTTTGTGTAGCACCTCGTGCCCTGTTGAACATGGAATTTGTAACTTCAAGCTAGCAGCACGAATTGATTTGCATAGACTTTGCTGGAATTCCTCTGTAATGCAATTGACATTTTCTTCAGAGGTCTGTGTCTTTCCGGGATATCTTACACACAACAGACTACCTGTAATCCTCAGTTTGTTGTCCCAGAACAAAATGCTTTTCCGTTTTGGAGGTCGCCCATATTGCATTCTGAAACAATGCCGGGCAGCCATAAGAGATTGTAGCTCTGCTAGCCACAACACGCATTGAACCTGTCCCTTTGGTGTTGACATTGTTACTGACCTTGCCAAAGGTCACCAGCTAGCACATGTGTAAGCTAGCCATGAAAAAAGAACTTTCAGAGTTTTACTTGCCAATGACATAAACCAGATACCTGTATGACGATTTCCAAGATATTTTTTAATTTTCTGTTTTGGACACCCTTCATCCAGACACTCTGTACTGTGGCTGGTCTTCATTCCATCCCAGAAATTATTTTGTTAATTTTATCCTTCTGTTGCGTTCTTCAGGAAACGGCTATTGCATGTAATAGGATTTTCAGGGCTTCAGGCATGTATATTTTCTGAGGATGGTCTCAGCTTCATAATGTGAGCCCACTTTCACAGGCACCTGCATGCACTGATTTCTGTGGGATTCTTTTTAACATCTCATTCACTGTGGCAATATTCCCAGGAGTCCACAAGATTGATGGCCATCCTAATCTTGTCTTATCGATGATACAGCCTGTCGTTAACTTTCAGTGGCACTTTTGGATTGAAGGCACATTTAATGTTGCATTAACTCCATGTTCACCCCAGCACCTTTGAACTCTAACCATTGATTTCCAAAACTCATAATGAACTGCAATTTTTGGCTCTCTTTGCACACCCAACATTAGAGGCATTATTCACCTGAAAAAGAAACTCATGTTCATCTTACGAATTCTTATGAAGTAATCTATCATTTACAGTTCTTTCATCAAAATCAGTTCACAAAAACACATGTTTTACAAATTAAAAATATGTATTTACTAATCAGATATTCTGTATGTAATTTAAGAGAATTTTCTTTATGTGAACAGTATACTACACATTGCGTGTGTATATTGCAGGAGTTACTTGTGCTGGATGAAGCGGATCGTCTTTTAGATCTCGGATTTGAAAAAACGTTGACAACAATTCTCCAGTACTTGCCTCGACAGCGCAGGACAGGATTATTCTCTGCCACTCAGACTAAAGATGTTGTACAACTGGTGCGAGCAGGCTTAAGAAATCCTGTTTTTGTTACTATTCACGAAAAATGCCACAATAAGTAAGCTTTTACTTTTGAAATGATTCAGTATGCTGTATGATATATATATATATATATATATAAAGGTAAAGTTGTCCCTGTGCTTAACTAATTAAGCACTACAACCCCTCACACACAGAAGAAACTAAAAAAAGTATCACAAAATAAAGTTCATAATTAAAAGAACAAAGATAAGAATAAATAACAACAAAAAGAACCAAAACAATAAATTCTAATCTCAACAAAGTAGCCAACAAATGCCTATGATTAGAAGAAAAAACCCAAATACCACAAAAGAAGAGAAAAGAGAAATAAGGACGAATTGGCATTCTAACGTTTTAATAATTAATGAAAATGTTGGTCTTGTAAACCAAAAATAAGTATAACCCTTTAAAACTTCAAGGGAAAGAGTGTAAACCTCATCAATAACCTCCAAAGTTAACATTTTAAAGTAAACTACCCCTTGAAATTAAAATACTGATAACACCATTAAGGAGTATGGGAGAGTAGATGTACAGATCCACATTTTCTTCACCTCAGCACTACCTGGAGGTGAGTGGTCAGTTTCACCCCCCCCCCCCCCCCCCCCCCCCTCACACCGCCGCA